ACAGGCAATTCACAGAGCTTTAAAGATCTCGAAACTTCCACTTGCACGTCAATTAATTTGAGTGGAGCCAAAAACTGACTGCCATAAGGAACAACTGCGTTCTTCTGGATTAAGCGTTTGTCAGAATGGTCAACTCTGTTAAATACGTACGCCTCCTACGTGTATTGGCTTGACAAAAATACACAACTTTTTAAAATAAAAAAAAACGGATATTAAATTTTTCGTAAACCACCTGGGGAAGTAGCATTTGACTAAAACTAAAATAAGTGGCTTTCTGACAGCAACTTGATCCTTACAAAATGTCACTTGTTCCTATCAGTGAGTAATCTCCCGCTATGTGGATGGAATGTTCCACATTTTCCTATTATGTCATGTATTGTGCTTTGGGATAGCCAGTTTTGGCTTCAAAGTGTTAATTTTTCGCAAAATAATATGGTAGTAGGAAGTACCGAGTTTGTAGTTATGGGTTATAATAACGATTGCAATACTCCGGTACTTTATTTCTTATATTCTTAGGTAAACATAAACTTTAATAATATTTTAAACGAAAATTTTTCAAACGAAACGAAGAAAAGAACAAACGAGGGCGAAACAACGATTCTATTTATGATTGTGACGGACTCGGCCGTCACAATATTCCTGCCAGTCCACGTATACCGGCTGGGATACTCTACACTGCCCAGAGCCCACAGCAGGAATTTCTTAAACGACGTCATTCTGCAGAATTAAATAAGTTGACTTTTAGTAAATTTAGTGTAACTATGCTGTTGGCTGCGGCGTGCGACTATAATCCCATTTTTACACTTTGTAGAAATACAAAGTATAATCGGACTTCAGTACTCTCGACGTTCCAACTTTGGCGGGCCAGCTCCTCGAGTATACGGTAGGGAGTCCCGTATGGCCCAAGGCCGGCGACGTAATTATGTCAATATATTTGGAATGGCGACAACAGCCTAGTCGCTGTCTAATCCAGAATAACGGGGATGTGTAGCAGGCAGGGAGGACTATATATCAGCTACCGTGATAATATAGACGTAGTAAAACGTCATGAAATAGAATCGATATATTGTTTTGTGTTTTTTTTTGTTGTTTTTTTTTGTTGAGTTGCCCTCGAAGCGTTTGACGAAGAGGTTTAAATTTGGCGCAGTGCATATAGTATTTCTATGGTTAATAAATCGCTCGCTATGTTTCTATTTTAATCATATAACTCATACGTGTTTGATTATGTTGCGACAGGATAATCATATTAAATCGTTTACGACATATATTTTTCCATTACGGTATATGAACCCCTTACGTCCAACGAACTGATGATACGATACTAGTAAGACCATTGCGTGCAATGGACTTTCCATTTAATTCAATGGCGTAAGAGATCTAGAGTATATAATAATGAAGTGCTAAACAACCACACAGATTTGATATAACAGATATACTTGTTAATGACACTTTGTGCAACTTTAAAATTTACCATTTATGCAGATCGAGCAGCAACATACAATACACACCTAAATTTTATTGTAAATGCATTTGTGTATCAAAACATTGACATCACATTATTAAAAAAATAACATATTCTCGTTCGGAGTAAAGGGCCACTTTCCTTCCAGTTTCATATCACATAGAATCCGCAACATTGATGTGTTGTATAATGTACTATTAAAATAAACAAAGCTTATTATAATTATTAGACTAGCGCAATGAATTATTCGACCGGACTTTGTCCTGCTGCGTACGAGCATATGGACGTAAATAGATCAACTATGAACAAACAATTTTTTATATTTTATAACAGCTATTGCAAACTCCGCCTTGTTTAACACGCAACTGCTCATTAATCTACCCTTTTCTGTCTTATCAATCAAACAGTATATTGTATTGTATTAAGTTACTACTATTTCCTCAAAAATTCGAACCGCAGTTTGTCTTGCAGCATAAATATACAACAAAGACGCTACCCTCCCCCATTTAATAGCTTCTAGCTTTAAGAACAGCAACATGATTACCGTACAAATGAAAACACGATTTTTTGGCGCCATATACCAGAAGACTTATCCAACAGAACTGCAGGATCATGTAAGTAAAGAATACAGTTCATATCGTGAATATACTGAGTTTATTATTGAAAGTCCTTATCGTTTTGTCATCTGTTTAATTGCTCGTTTCCTTATAATCGTCATACCTTCTCCTCCATCTTTTTATATTCAGATACGTCAAGACGAGTTTTGTGCGAACGTGGAGGCTCTAAACAAACCACTAAAAACAAGCGCTGTCCGACTTGCTTGGATCGGCCTTGTTGAGCTTCTTTTGTCTGGGGGGTTTTCCGCCATGTTATTCGTCCCGCCGCAAAATATCAGCAGAGATAACGCAGAGATTATGATGTGTCTTGCAATGGCCATGTATTTCATGTCACAATTGATGGTTTGTTATATCGCGGTAATTTGGTGTTCAAAGGTAAATAGAACATATAAGAGGTACTAGATAGAGATATAAAGCGTATGTAAGGGATCTCTAATTAATGGCAATTGCTTCATTTTATTGTAGATTGGCGAGGAGAGAAAATGCATTATAAGCAAATTTAACTTTGACGATAGGCAGCGAGGCATTAAATGGAAATGTATTAATGAGTCGGTTTGGCCATTCTGCATTAAACGGGTATAATTTATTCGATTCATTGAGTATTGTTTTCTTATAAACTTGTGTCGTTTTACTAATCTTTAAGTCAATTATCTTTTAGTTGTCTATTCTCATCGAACTCGATGCTCCCTTGCATAACGAAAAGGCAAACGAGCTTACCAAATCTCACATAGTTTAGGTTTTATGTAACATTTCGAGTCAACTGTAGACACTGAATTTATTATTATCAATGAAATAAACTGTTATACTTATTTCCAATCACAACTGTTCAACAATTGACTTTGTATACCAAAATTTCCTAGCCGTATTGATAAGGTGAAAACATTAGATTAATATATATATTACTGAATGCATTTCTACACTGCTCCGTATTCACAGGACTAGCTACGAAGATTTATTCCTTTAACAAAATCAATGACAAAGAATGCCTTTAGCACTGTACAATATAATAAGCATAAACTGCCATCTCAGTTACTCGTTTTTCATTTTTAACCGACGATCAGATTACTTCGGAAATTGATATGTTGTGTTCTACTACTGCTATTGCTACTAACTACCCCAGTAGCACTACACCGAGTTACGGATCAAATGTCTGTCGTCGTTCGTTGTGTCAGCGTGCAGACAGACTAGTCCTAATTTTGACAACATTGATGTATCGTTATCAATCATCACTATAAGTTGATGACGGTATTAGTAACAGGTACGTAATAATACTCGAATTCTCTAGAATAATTGCATAAACTACGCAGTATCGTTTAGATACAGAATTCCATCCATTTGAATATTGGTTAAATTACACTCCATCGTAAACTTGGTTTCGGTCAGCCGCATAATCATATCTGTGATGCATGTCCTCAGAGCGAACTCTCGCCTTACTCAGCGAAAAGACACATGCTAGGTTATCACAATTGCGTATGTATGTTACAGTATGGTGAAACAATATTATAAAATGGGGTTTATCAATGATCTTATTTATTCTACTTTCTATTGATGTGGTCACTACCATGCAAGCACAGAGCACTTAATTAACATGTACAAAAGTAAGAGCTTTTATTTTTACGACTGTTAATGACACCAAAGCATAATAACGATTGGCTGATAGGCATATCGCTCTTTTGAGGCTTAGCCATACCCTGTTTGTGAAACATTTCCGTGTGATTTTTCAACATGTGAGAGCAGGTATAGTCTTTACAGATAGTCATGATCAACATAAATAATGGTCACACTTAATCAATACATGTTTGCTATTTCTAGTTTCTTACAGCGCGCTGACGAATAATGGGTGGCTTACATTCTGCATAACTATTGTCAAATGGGAAGTTTGTAATCTACAAGATCCATTGAGTACTATCTCTTAATTATAGTGCTTTGGATCACTAAACACCAGCTTACGAATAATGGGTGGCCTACATCCAGCATAAGCTATTGTTTGTCGTTCTCAAAAACGGAATCTGCATACATTTGTGTTATAGTACTGTATATTTTTATTAACAACGACGACGACGATTTACGTCTGTCTATTCACCCTTCTAGCTACTGGTATAATATCCGCAGTAAACAATTTTTTGTAATAAATAACTTAGTTTTAAACGCAGCAATACAAAAAAAAAAGAGTTTCTAACTATCAAGAATACCTCTCCCAAATAATAATAATAATAATAATAATAATACTGCAAGATTATGGGGAAATTACTCTATTAAATTTATGGGCAGGAAAACCTCTACTCATAAGCTATTAAAGACCCGTTCATTATTTTTTTTTTGTAAATAAATGGCTAATTATAATTTTTGGAGACAACATTCTTAATAGACGACTCGAATACAATATTAACCTTTGTGCTACGTTTATTCCCCAGCGTCTTGGGTAGCGGTTAAAAGTTGATCCTTTGTTTTTTCACTCAGAAAAGATTTTTCGATGCCGTTGGAGAGCGTTTTTCAAATAACTAGTGGCTCGGCTATCCGCGATAAAGCAGACTGCTAAAATTACCGCCACAATTAGCGTAGCTCAATCGTTCATAAAATATTTCTCGAAAATATAGCATCCTGCATAATATAATCAATATCAATGTCTCAAGGTGAGCTTTCCTTCATTCTCGTCCCGCGTTCTCTATCGCCATCCCCTATTCCATCCAATATCGACAGTTGAGCATCTCACTATCTACATCACTATAGGTCGATTTGGACCTTCAACCGCACTTCTTCTATTCATTAGAACTTTTTGCATATAGTTGACGACTGCGCGCTGGAGGATTGTGTGGCATGAACGTATTAGCGCCATAGGTAGGGTGGCACGCGATTACATATCAAATTATCTGAATTCTGTCTCAGTTGCTTGCTGTATCATTACCATTCCTACTATGCTCCCAATCAAGCTCTCTTATCGCCATTCAAATAATGTATTAATATACCGCGATTGAATACTACATGAGTCGAATGACAACAATATTTACACTAAAGGCATCTGCCAGGATGCGCAAACAGATGATAAATTTAATATTCTAGTCTTCCCACTGTTGCACTTATTGCTAACCTATCCTCTGTCGGTAGTCGAGACACTAATGGATGTTGAGACTGCCACAGCGAAAGATGCGATATATCCGGATTGTGCGGGCACAACAACTTATGCTCATGACACTTCAAATCTTTCACGTTATGATCTCGTTTCATTCTCTACAGAAATCTTCATAGTAAATCGCCGAGCTCCTGTCTGGCAATGTAAAAGTTAGTCTCACTTCGCACTCCGGTTTTAAAACCATTTACGCGTCAGGTAGAGGAAGGCCGGCGAAAGATGGAATTATTGTTTTGTGATTTATCACAGGTGGCGATACTGAGGGTGGATAGATAAAATGCAAATATGCGTTATTATTTGAACATGTGGATACAATCAATCTCTTATGGAAATTTCTTATTGTTCTGATCTTCGACTTGTTAAGTTGGTAGTTGTGCGCGAACGAAGAGGTATTATCCAGAGTAAAGATTAACTATTAGTATTACAGTGTTCTTTTCTAACTTCACTGTTAGTTTTCCTCAGGGAACATCGTATCTTATGACGAACCTGAAATTGTGATTCCAAATCATACTGGTCGAAATATCGATTTGGACTTTAAATGGAAGCGTATTCTGCTACGGAATAGAATCTGAGGGTGAGAAGTTGATGAAGCAAGTAAATTTGAAAATTGATA